CTCGCAGAGACTACTGAGAAAGATCCTGGGAGCTGTACCGGGGGACCAAAGAAAACACTTGAGTGAGATCTGGGGGGAGGAACTCTTGAGTTTATAAGGTGAAAACACGAGTGATTTCGAGAGACAGAACACGATCGGGAAAACGATGAACAGTACCCCAGCCATGGAAGAAAATGATGTGACACACGAGAAAATGATGGAGCTAGAACCTCTGCTGGAAGCTTCGGGAGAACGCAACCTCCGATGTGTCAACCTCACACATGGGGAATGCCCGTGCCACTGTCTGGCACAGTCAGTGTGGTATCCGGAGCACTCGAACCTCTGCTTGATATGGGACGTGGAGGAATTTCGATCGATCAGGTTACCCGATCATTGACAGATGGTTACCCCTCTAGTAGTGAGTTCTCAATGCTGGCGTTGCGATGGATCGAAGAAAACGTGATGAAATATCGGGAGTCGAGGGCACTGACAGCGGAATCGATACGCGCTATTGATTACAGCAGGACGCTTGAGACTGCGTGCAAAATATCCTCTGTACTTATGGAGGTCAGGCACGCGTGGAGCCGCATAAGATTTTTCCCATGGTTTTGAGCGACGTTGACGCCTTGGTTATACGCAGTGACGAAGGATCACATAAACAAACATCAGAAAGAATATCGACAGCTCCTGGCTGAGATAGGGCCGGAAGCCTTCAAGAGACCCTTGCTGACCCATCCTTCATGCAATCACTACGGGTTGGAAGAGAGTGGGTAGGGTGTCTAGAGATAATACGAAGGCGAGGGAGTCAATATTGGAGGAAGACTTGGCAAAGAATGTGAGCTTGAGCTTGCATAACTCCTTTTACTTGAACAGGGAGTTCAAGGTGTAGGGTTTGCCGAACCAGGCTAAGAGATTACAAGGGCAGAGGGAATGGATGCGATCCTACAAACAACTAAAACTACGAACCGGCTTAAGAAGAGATCGTGATCAGCTCCGATGATGAGGAAGAGCTGTTGAGGCAGATTACAGTTTCTCGATGGTTTGGTCCCTGCTCGGGGGGAGAAGCGCGGACCTGTGGATTTTCACAGATCGCAAAATTCAAACCTGGGGGGGGGGGAGAGGAGCCCGACAGTGTGTTTAGCCTAGGCCACACTGTCGGGCGATACTTCACCCGTCAACAACTCACCCACGGAGTAGCCGACCATGGGGGGAAATTACAGGCAATCAACATCCCAGCACGAAAGGGGACGAGACGAGATCGTTAGGACCATGGAAGAGATCCCCGAACGCACCGACCAGACAGCACTAGAAGCGGCCATTGAACTGGAGAGAGTGGTCACGTGGAGCGAATTTGAAACAGAGTTGGCCAAGATAAGGGATGGAGCACCAGGGAACGACGGAGTTCGGATGCTAGCAGTAAAGGTGGCCAGCAAACCAATTAAGCAGGAGCTCCACAGGATGATTGGGCAGTTGATAGACATGAAACCGGAGGAATGGCCAGAAGAAATAAAGGAAGGCTGGGTCATTCCCCTGCATAAGAAAGGTCCCAAGAACGACCTGGGCAACTACCGTGGAGTGTGCCTGTTACCACTGGCGAGCAGACTGATCGCACGTATCCTCGCGACGAGACTCCGGACATGGGCAGAAACCATTGGCGCTCTGGACGAGAACCAGAACGGTTTCCGTGGTGGAAGGTCTACGGCTGATTCAACGCAGATCATTATCCGGATGGAAGAAGAAACAAGAAGAGTGTACGGGATGACAGACGAGTGTAACGAGAACCGTCCAGGGGCTGTCCTCCTAGACATCACCAAGGCTTACCCTCGCACCAACAAACCCCTTCTGTGGGGTATGTTAGCCAGATTTGGCATGACGGACAAGGTGCTCGATCTGCTGAAAGGTCTCCATGAAGAAACGCGATACCGGGTGAAAGGAAAGGAAGGTCTCAGCGATGATTGGGCCCCAGCCAGAGGACTCAGAGAGGGGTGCGCAACATCACCTATCCTTTTCAACGTATATCATGCCGAAGCAATAAGAAGAGCGGAAAGAGAACGGAGAAAGGAGGCGGCGGAGAGAGGTCAAGAGTGCGGTCTCACCTGGAGGTGGACACCAGGAGGCAGCCTCCCACCGAGAGAAGGGCCCAGAGCATTGCATAGCAGCAACAAGTGTAATTTCATCCTGGAGGACTCGTTGTTCGCAGACGACACCTCTCTACTTGGTTGGACCGAAGAGCTCGTCATAGGGAAAGAGGTGATCAAGAAGAAAATGATGGAGTTTGAAGAGAAATGCCACGACGGCAAAGAAGAGTCCATCACTTTTGCAACTACCAGCGCCCAGAAGACTAGAATGCTGGGAACGCTCATCGCGAAACGAGAAGACCGAGGAGCCAGGATCAAGAGAGGGTACCACGCGTGGAGCAAGGTGAAACAATGGCTCTGGAATTCGAGCCTCTCCAAGCGCACCAGAGCATTGGTGGTCCAAGCCGTAGTGTAGTCCACTCTCCTGTTTGACTGTAGCGTTAGAGCATGGACACCGACCGACATCCAGAAGTTCCAGAGCGTTGCAGACAGAGCCTACAGGTTTGTGTGGAACAATGGAAAACCTCACACACTGATAAGGATGCAGAATGAAGGAGTCAACAGCTACGAGATCCGCAGACAGTTGAACATTGAATCGATAAGGACTAAGATCGAGTGCAGAGCATTAGAGCGAATGGGCCACGTTCTCAGAATGTCGGATGAGAGGATTGTGAAGAAAGCCGTGCTCGGATCCTGGAACATGGAGAGGACACGCAGTGGGAACTCGCGAGGCAACACCATCCAGTACTGGCGCAGACTGCTGAAAGAAGCGGGACATGAAGACGACAACAGCGAGAACCTCACCAACGACCGGAAACGATGGAAGAAGACCGTTACAGATCGCAGGACGTTCCTCAAAAACTGGGAGACGCAAATGTGCAACTGGCACAGAGGATCGGAAAAACCGGCCCGCTCACAATGGAATAGAGAGAGAATAAGTGACAGCGGTTGGCCTTGCCGCTGGGACGGATGCGACAAGATGTGCGCAACAAAAGGAGGACGGACGAATCACGAGAGAAAAGCACACAGAAGGGAGTCAGTGGACTTCAAGTGTCCAAAGTGCAACGACAGTTTTTCGGACCAGGCTGCTCTGACAAACCACTTCAAGGCGTGCCAAGGAGGGCAGGGTGGGTTCTGTCCGAAGTGTCAGAGGTCCCTGTCGTTGAGCAACATGGCAAGACACCGGAGGACCTGTCGAGGAGAACATCCGACAGCCCCAGAAGTAACCAGCACCATTATCACAGGACGATTCGCCGGAACGAGAGCCAGAATCCAATGCGAAGAATGCGGTACTTGGGTGACAAAAAACAACATTTCAAGACACTGGAGCACATGTCCTGGAAACTGGGAATCAAGGTCCCCCACGGGGCGTAAATGACAAAGAAGAAGAAGAAGACAGTGTCGAGTGCATCAGGGCACAGCAACTCAAGGGCGAGGAGCACGAAATGAGCAGGATGCTCATTGTCGGATTCTTGAGTCTTGAGCGGGGAAAGGAAAGGGGCTTGAGTGTGAACTCGGATGAAATCTGAGGTCACGGAAAATAAATTTTAATGAGACAAAATATTGTTTTTAATATGCTATATCTATTATAATTATTATATCTCAAAATGAAGCATGAAAATTTTCTGATTGGATAAGACAAAAGAAATTTTAATCATTAGCTTGCAAAACGGAAATTCAGTGTGCAGGTACATGCAGATTTTGATTGCTGTTTAGCGATAATGTGACATTTTTGCATGGTTGGGAATTTTGGGGTGTAGATAAAGTTAAATCTGCTGCAAACTTCTGTAATTGACCACTGGCACTGTATTTTGAGACACACTCAACATTCAAAAAATCGAATTGAGCATGCCGAGCTCAAATTTCTCGCGACAAATAAAAATATCAGAAAAATAAGATCAGAAGAGTCGAACTACAATCGCGGGAAAATAGTCAAAAATAGCAGCGGAAAAATGCTATTCGCAGTTTCCGATAAATAATTCGAACGAGGGTAGAGCTGTCTTATTCGAAATAGAAGGCAGAGTGATCGCGAGTAAAGAATAGATATATTAGAAGTAGACCAGAGTAAACCTTCGGTGGAAAGGTGGACACTCGAAGTCTCCCAATGGTCCAGAACCAAAACTTGTCTCTTGAGTTAAGACTCACTTATTCAAAACTTCTTGAGTTAAACTTCATTACCCCATTAATGCTAGAGTTACTTATTAATTTAGTTACTCAATTCTGGAGATCGTGCTGGTATGTGAGTACCCAATTTAAATTTCTTGAGTGTGTTTTATATTGTTATGTTGAGTTAGGGAGAGTTTTTAGGTCGATCCATCTGAAATGGATCAAAGTCCACTGTCTAATAAAAAGAGACTATACGTAAGGTTCCAACCCTGTTTTTAACGGCATTCGCGTGTTTTAGGTATTTTGAGACCTTAGTATGGGGAAGTTCTTATTTTCTAGAGTGGGGGGTATTTTGGTAGTGGCCTTTAAGATGTAGCAATAGTTCTAGTCTCATGTCGCAAGTGAACCGTATTGGCTCCGACCGCTTGAGGTAGACAAACACAGGAGATAGTGTCCCTGACTCTTGAGCCAATAGTTATAGGGCCTATTTTTCTTTAACCTAATATGTGCCTTAAGTAGGTGACTGTTACATGTCTCCAACCATTTCACCTCGTCCAGGGAATCTAACTTTTCGAGATGCCATAGTCATATATGAAACAAATTAATTTACTTAATAGATTAAGAGAATGCATAAAAATTGTAAATTCAAACAAACGTTTTCGCAAGTTTTTGTGCATCTTCAGGTTTTAAAAATTCTAAACTATCTGTACAAAATGATCAAAGATCATAAAAAGTGTCATACACATCATTATTTCAAAATTTAAAAAATTCAACTAAATTAATAGATTAAATAGAGTTATTTAGTAGATAAAATTACCCTCGCATTGAACACTCGCTTAATTGTTGTGATAAACTTATTAAATAGATAGTTGAAATGTTTACCGGGGTAGCAATGGTTGCCCCGCGATGAAATTGTCCGACAGAAGATATCACTTGCTCAAGACATCATCTTCAAAAAATCTCCTGATTGCGGATTCTCAAGCACGCCATCTTGATTTTCCAAATTTCAATATCTTGTCCCTACCTGGGGCCCGAATTGGTGCGGTCCAAAACTTCTTACCCGAGAAAGACAAATTCAACATCATCGCTCTGCTCATCGGCGGAAACGACGCCTTCAACGGAAAAGACCCCTCCAGTATACCTGCAGGCGACATTGCTGAAGAACTGTCGAAGCTAGCCGAGGAGCTGTGTGAACGAGCCAAAAAAGTTTTCGTCATCGGAATCCCTCATCGTAGTGAGAACCGAGCTCGATCTGCAAAAATAAACGAATTCCTAAGAAAGATAAAAGGAACTTGGAAGTTTAGAGGAGTGAGTGAAAAAATCCACAGCTCATATCATTTGAAAACTGACGAAGTGCACCTCAGTGAAGAAGGTCTGAAGGGCATTAAAAGTATTCTCAAGAATAAAATCTTATACGATAAACATTCGAACATCTGCAATACAGAAGGACATCTGGTATATTACGAGTGTCGTTTCAAGAACTGTCAGTGCCCCTATTAACGTAAGTAGAAATAGTGAACCGCAGGCCTCCCCTTTTCGGGAACCACCAGGTTTGTCTATTTCTTCTTTTCCCCTGAGTGAGCCACAGGCCTCCCCTTTTCGGGAACCACCAGGCTTAACTGTTTTTCTATCCATAGTATAAGCAAAAATGGGCAAAAACTGCAAAACATGTAAAAGAGGCTTTGCCAGCAACGAGAAAACATACACTTGTGTCGCATGCAACGCTCAAATGCATTTGGAACCAACTTGTGTTGGGTTGTCTCTAGTGGCCATAAATGGAATAAAAGAACTAGGGCCGAATGTCATGTTGCTTTGTAATACTTGTGTGCAAAATAATGAACGAGACAACTTTATAAGATGCAAAACCCTGGCCAATATAGACGAGACTGAAAGCCTTAAAAGCATGGAAAGAAGACTTACCGATTTAGTAGATCAAAAAATTGGAAATGCAATGAAAACGACATGCGATAAAGTGGAAAAAACTTATAGTGCCGTTGTAGCTGCTGAAACCACCACCCGGATAAATCAAGCTCAAACCACTCAACATGCTGCCAGATCTAACTCTGATCACAACATAAATCAAAGTTTTAGGATACAAGGGGTCAAAGAGGACCCTGAGAAAACAAAAGGAGAAAACCTTGTCCCAACAAATGACGAAGTAAACGAAATACTAGACATAATTGGAGTGAAGCCGAAAATAATAGAACTAAAACGACTGGGAAAATTTGATCGTAATCGAATGAAGCCAAGAACACTGCTGGTAACTGTACCTAGCGAACATGAAGCACGACTAGTACTAGCAAAAAGCCGAGAAAAGCGAGAACAATTGGTCGAAAAAGAGGTCTACCTGCTACCAGCATTGACCAAAGAGAGTGCAATTAAAGAGAACGAAATCCTTAAGAAACGAAGACAACTACTAGATGAAGGCGTTCCTCGCGAAAAGCTGAAAATAAGGAATCTAGAATTGTTCAATGATGGTGTGAAAGTAACTATTGACACTGAAGTTCAGGAACCCCAGCATTGACTAGGATTCCTCAACATTCTGCAACTAAATACTAGAAGCCTAATCAACATAGAGAGAAGAACTAAGCTAGCAAATGCAATTGCAGTTGGAAATTTTAATGTCATATGCTTAAGCGAAACTTGGCTTAACGAGAATATTCAATCATCAGAGCTTTTTCTAAGTGAATATAACATCTATAGATCTGATAGAGCTATTGTGAGTGGTAAAAACTGTCACGGAGGCAGCCTAATAGCTGTCAAGAATAGTCTAATTACCGAGGACTTATCCACCAAACATGACATTCCTGATTCATGTGTGCTATGTAGTATAAAACTTCATCAAACTGAAATGATAATTGGCTCATTCTACAATCCGCCAAAAAACAGTAATTACAGATACAAAGTGCATGAATTTGAACAACTGATCAAAGCCATTCCTAAAAACAAACCGTTTCTCTTATGTGGGGATTTAAATTTCCCAGAAACAAACTGGAACACCCTCACCAGTACTGACGAGGAAGAAAACCAAATACTGCAAATTTTTGAAAATGGACTCTTTAGGCAGGCGATAGATTTCCCAACATGTGTGAAGAACATACTAGACGTAGCCTTCTATCGGAATTGCTATACAAGTGCCGAACAAGATTTTAACGTTTCCAAGATTTATGACTGCTCAGATCACAATGCCATAATGTTGTCTATTGAATGCACGGTATCAGAGCCGAAACCATACTTGGAAAATTTTAGAAGTTTTGGAAATGCCGATTTTGAAGGAATAAACAATTTTATAAACGAGAACCCATTTGAACCAGTATGCCACACAAACATTAACAAAATGCATGAGGAGTACACCCAATATTTGGATGAAATCATTAAGAGTTTTGTGCCTCTCAGAACAAGACATAGGCAATCACTTCCACCTTGGATAACAAGTAGCACTTCAAATTTGATCAAAAAGTTTCAAACAAAACGGCAATCTTGTATACTCAAACCGACCAACTACAGAAGACAACAAGTTAAACTGTTTGAAAATTTAGTAACTGAATCATCGGAAGTGGACAGGAAAAACTACCAAGAGGAATTGTTTAGAACACGGAACACTAATGTAATTTTTAAACACCTAAAGAACTTGAATAAACATACAAGTCTTCCTAAGTTACTCATAAAAGATGAAGTTGAAAGCACAAATCCAAACGAACAAGTCAACATGCTAAACGACTTCTTTCATTCAGTTTTTAATCATAAAGAAAGTTTTAGTATTAGAGATATTCAATTTGGAAATCCCTTGTTAACGAATTTTGATATATCGAAAAAGACAGTAAGTGAGATTTTATCAACTATGGACGTAACAAAGTCACGCGGCCCAAATGGGTTGCCACCTAGCTTTTTTCAGAAAACGAACCGCAATATATGCAAACCGATGAACAAAATTTTGAGAAACGTAAAACGCCTACGAAAAATACCTGATTCATGGAAAACAGCTGCAGTTACTCCTGTTCACAAAAAAGGTGACCGAAAATTGGTGAACAACTATCGACCAGTATCGCTATTAAATATTGACAGCAAAGTCCTTGAAAAATGTATATACAAAGACCTGTACCCTTACTTTGCCTGGTATTTGACGAAACATCAACACGGTTTTACTAAAGGTAGATCAGTTTTGACAAACATGCTCTCCTTCCTGAAAGAAATATATGAAGCGCTTGACAATGACTCAAACGCAGAAATTGTAGCAGTCTACACTGACTTTGCAAAAGCCTTTGATAAAGTTCCGCATTTTGATCTACTCAAGAAAGTTGCACTTATAGGAATAGGAGGCTGCATGTTAGAGGTACTCTATGACTATTTGAAAAACAGGAAACAGTTTGTACGAGTAGACAATATCAGCTCAAAAGTTTTAGAAGTCACTAGTGGTGTTCCCCAAGGATCACTTTTAGGACCACTGCTCTTTTGCATTTTTATTAACGACCTACCTGAAGTACTCAAATTCTCTGAACCATATATTTTTGCGGATGATCTTAAACTACTTTCCATCAAAAAAACATCAATTGAAATTCAAGAAGATCTGGACAAAATTCAGCAGTGGGTAACTGAAAACAAAATGGAATTAGCACTAGATAAATGTGCAAAAGTAAGTTTTAGGGGCGGAGACGCCAACTCTATGCTTTTTGGTGTAGTGCTTGGAACATCGATGGTTGTGAAAGATCTGGGAATTTTTGTGTCGGGCGATTTAAGTTGGAAGGTACACATTGAAACAAGATTAAAGAAGGCAAACCAAGTACTGTACCTCCTGAGAAGAAACCTATCAGCAAAGATAAATACGTTTGTAAAGTTAGGCCTGTATAAGTCACTAATACTCCCAGTGTTATTATACGGACTCTCATGTACACATATATCGAGGGGGGATCAATTGCAGTTGGAGCGATTTCAAAAGAAAGCAATCCGGTGGATCACTGGAAATAAAACGGGAGTGTACATCAACGAACTACGCTTGCTAAACATTTTACCCCTGCCCATGTTCATCCAGCTAAATAACATCTTACTTCTTGCCAGTCTTGATTCTAATGAACGAAATGAAATAGTGTTAAACAGGCGAACCACACGGGCTAGAAATATAGAAATTTTTGAGATGCGAAAAGTGAGAACGGAAAAAGCGAGAAACGAATTTGTTTTCAGAACCAGTAGGATTGTAAATCGATTAGAACCATATATTCATTTTGATAAACGAATCGGCCTCAAGACGAGAATTTTAAACACGATGTGGAAATTTGTAAACGAGAGATTTTCAGAAATGACAACGTGCACGTGGCAATTATTCTGTGATTGTATCACGTGCAGAAACAAGTGGACATTGTTTTAGAGAAGACGCCGGGACCAAGACTCCCAACAGCAGTGCTGTGAATCCCCAACAACAACAACAACAACAATAATGGCAAATGAATCTCACGCTTTCGAAGTTCTTAAAGCGCTAAAATTGAGGCAGTCTCCCTGGGAGACGGTATGTCATCAAGTAGTAGCTTCAGCCCTCTGAGCAAGTTTCAGGTTATCTCATCAGGTTCAATAACGAAATATGCTCTTCGATAAAATTGGCAACGGAAATATAGGAAAGCTAACATGTTTGCAAAGTTTAAGACGACTCCGTAGACCACGCTCTCAGTAAAGTTTAGTAATTTCATATGTGAAACCTATCTACCTATGTTTTCCAAAGGATTTTTTTTTTCGTTAGGTATTTTTGTTTGTCTGGCTGCAAATATGTGCAGACTATATTATGCTCTTTTATTCAACTGAGCAAGTTTTTGTTCAGTATCGTTGCTGCTTAAAACTCACAAAACTGATAAATCACTTCCTTCAGTGAGACAAACTTTCGTAATCAGTTTTTTAAACAAAACAAAATCTAAATTCTATCAGTAAAATCTTCAGCACCAGTAAAATTTGACGTAAAACAGATAGACAGTTTTTTTCAATATGTACTTTACATACTGTCCTAATAAAATGTAACAAATGTACAGTTAAGAGAATAGCGCCGTGAAGAGGAATGATAATGTCATAACGTGAGTTAAAACGCTGCAAGTGAAGTAGTAAAATCAGGGTCGAAAACGGTACCCGTCGTCTTATAAAAAGTCCTGCTGCCTCTGAGGCATGTTACTGATGATCTAACTAATAAAAACGAAAGTTTGCATCTGATCGCCGAGATTGTTTTTGAATAATCCGATGTCATTTTTTCTGATAAAAGATACGCAAGTCTCTTCAAAAATAAGTCACATTCTTTTTCTTGGCCTCCTGTTGATCCGAAAATGAGTGGTGTAAAGACTCCATGTTCGATTTCCATAACTCTCTCATTGTAGCATCTCTTCTTCTCGTTCTCCTGCTCTTTCGTAATCAGTTGAAGCTTTTCATCAAAATTCTAATTTCATTTATTTGACCAACCGATATAATGGACTCGTGTGAAATTTAGAAGGATTACACGCTTTTTCTTTTCGATGCGATTTATTGAGTGCATGTGCTCATAGTTTATTTTTTCAGAAAATGTCTACCAATCTTCAACCAAATGAAAGATCCATTGCAGTTTCTCACAATGATTGAAGTTTTCTCCAGCACAGATGAAGGCGTCCCTGATTAATGATTTGGAGGTTAGTTAATCTAATTTTGATGGGCGCTTAAAGTTGTTTCGAATACAAAGAGGGTAGCATATGTTTTTGAAACAGAACGCAATAGACCGCCTGGAGGAAAGACCCGCGCCTTTTGCCAAGAAGCCTGAACTATACAAAGACGTGCGGGATGCAATTTTGTCTTCACAGGATTATGAGGTCAGTCAACTTAACTTGACCTATTGATGTTGTGCTTGTCGAGAGTTCATATTGACACATTGAATTCGATTAGATGTTGCTGCTTTAAAATTCCATGTTTTGCATTCTTTGTAGGTCTTAGAGCAGTTTTACGTCTTCCTCGCGGACGCATATCGTGAGCAGGGAAATGAAGGGTCTACAGCTGGAAGCAATAAGCAGTTCTGCCTCCAGTTCTTACCTGCCATTGTATTGCGATATTTATCTCTGCTCGTCACACAGAACTCAGATCAGGTGATTAGTATGTTTTGGATCTATTGTTTTGCTCACCTGATCCTCAGTTTTGTGCATTTATTTGTTTTGTGTGAATACTCCTAGTATAAGCTACTTATTGGTTCTATCTTATATCGCTCGTTAAGAGTGTTTAGAAAAAGTCCTTAAATTTCATCTCGCCCAATTTTGCTTCTGCTGTTTAATTTTTGAGCCGAGATTATACCTTAGTTTCCCAATTCCAGCTCAAGTGGTGTTTTGAATTATCACATCCTATCAAGTCGATTGAAGTGAAAGTTCGTATTTCACTTTTACTTCGAGTCGATATTATTAAAAGGTTTTCCTGGTCTACTTGAGAAAATAGATATTGATCCGGTATTTAAGCCGACTGGGTAAGGCCGGCGTCTCCCTACACGAATTTCGCGGGTTCTAGGCGATTTCACGGAATCATGGAGCTGTTTGCTGTCCACAAATGCAATCATACCGAGTTCGGTACAGATCAGAAATTCAAAAACGCTATTAAAAAAATAGCATTATCAATGGCATCCTTTAGCGCTAACGTTTCCGCGGCAATTGTACTTCTGGCTATACGTTTTACACGTTTCGAGCTCCAACTGAGGACAGAAAAAACGTTATTTTCAACGTTAAAAATGCCAACGTTGTGAGCCACTATCTAGAACGCTGCGTCTGAAAATATCGCCAACTCCAGCTTGTGAAAATCAATATTATCACCCGTGAAGAGTCGTCTAAAATTAATTTTCTGGTGTTTCTCGTACCGTACGCGACGTACAGCCTTGTTAGCTAGTTTGGCAGAGCTAATGAGCGTACTGGCCCAAAAAGTGATAACGGGCCTGGTTTGACTACTGAGCCATTGTAGCTTCCCAACAAGGCTCCGAAACGCTTCAATTTCTGTACCAGACAAGAAAAAAGCCACAGAGCTCTCAATTTGCATTTGACAGAGGATATTAACGAATTTCTATCGTGAAATCTTAAAGGTATCATCAGAAAACTTTTCTATGGACAATCCAGTAAAGACTAATGGCAAACAAGCTTCTGAACCTATTGTAAACGTTGAACGAAGATCAACCGTCAATCTTTCTATAAACGAACTTGTTCCAGTGAGCAGAAAATCGTCAACATGGGATAACACAATACCATCTAGGTGATACAAGTTCTTGGATATGAACAGGGACGGTTCTGATTTACACTGAAAGATTTCGAAATCATTGAACACTTGCTTAACTTTGTTGTATCAAAGTTATGAAGCGTCTTTGAGTCTAAAGACAGGTTTTCTAAGCTCCCAGACAATATTAGGCTCTCGTAACTCAATAAGAGGTCGGATAAAAACGTTCCTTCAAGGGAATCGTTCTGTAAAAATGCGGTTATCACGTCCAAGCTTAAAACACTGGCAACCGATTAGAAGATCTTGATAACTTCTCGTGTGATAACTGGCTACTCTTTTTCATGTTTCGACATACTTTTGTCCATGAATCCTCTAGCCACGAGTCTTGCCTTCGGAACTACAGTCCCGTCCGTCAAATTCTTCATAGTTCAAACCCAGCGAGTGTCAATGGTTACTTGTCCTGTGGCTGCAACAAGCTCGAAAACAGCATTTTCCTTCCAAGCCAATTCTTTCAGTTTTGCAGGCAAAAATTGACGTCACTTGATTCGCGTGTAATGAAACACTCGCTCTCTTCTCTAAATTCTCTACTGAATCGAAATTGACCCAGCCAGTTTGACGTCCTGTGGCGTTTCGTACGTGACGTTAAAACAATTTTTCCATTTTCGCCCGGCCTTTCCCGCTCGATTTCCAATTTTCCCGACAAACTGCTCCGTTTGACCATCCTCGCTATTAACAAAGAATTTTACATGGGCGTTTTTTTTTCAAACCTTAACTGCTTCTAATGGCTGATTTGGTTCTCTGGAATGCTGTTCTGTCAATTCCTGGCAGAACTCTGTACCATCGCGTCTCCTCGGGCCTGTGACAACCATGGGAGACGTTTCTTAAATACTGGTATCCTGAGTCGAACACTCTGTTCTGTTCAGAGTTTCACCACTCTTCACGGGTGATATTATTGATTTTCACAAGCTGGAGTTGGCGATATTTTCAGACGCAGCGTCCAGAATGTTCCAGATGGTGGCTCACAAGCTGGGTACAGTATTGGCATTTTTAACGTTGAAAATAACGTTTTTCATGTCCTCAGTTGGAGCTCGAAACGTGTAAAACGTATAGCCAAAAGTACCATTGCCGCAGAAACGCTAGCGCTACAGTATACCATTGACAATGCTGTTTGTTCTCTCCTGATAATGCGTTTTCCTTCAAACATTTAACTGCTTCTAATGACAGATTTGATGCTCTGGAAGGCTGTTCTGTCAATTCCTGTCGAAACTCTGTAACATCGCGTCTCATCGGGCCTTTGACAACAGCGGGAGACGTTTCTTCAACACTGGTATCCTGAGTCGAACAATCTGTTCTGCTCAGAGTTTCGACGTAATTTTGATCATTATTTGATTGAGAAAACGTATCGACCTGTTCTGAATGATCTGAATCAATTATCTGGTTGGCAATGGTTCCACATAAACCACCAGACGGGTTCTCACGAAATCGTTGTCCAGAAATCCCGGTTTCTGACTTAGTTTTAACTTTCAATGCATCACAAAGATCAGTTTCGTGAACCTTGACAATCTGACCACCATTTCGAACATAGTAGATCTTATCAGAACCAGTAACTTTGCCAGGACCACACCAGCAATTAATCCGTCGGTAGAAAAATCTGAAAGTGTTGTTAATTACTTCGAACGTTGTGCCTCAATGCTCTGCAGATCCGTTCACTGTGTTCACTCTGAACGTACGACTTTCTTGCCACTTCTATGGCTTCGACTCGCGAAGCAACATACTGAGACGTACGGATCCAGACGACGCCGCCTTCCAGTGGTGGATCCGACATCTTGGGCCCCACCAAGATGCAAATGGCGTCAAGCCCCCCCTCCCATTGGGTCGGGAGAAGCTCCGAAGTCTCCGGGTTTTCGGTTACGGAGCGTCTGAAGCCGGCCAGGCTGCTCCGTCTGCTCATCCTTATACTACTACTCCGCTCCGGCATTAATCCAAACCCTGGTCCAGGTCCTTACTTTTGCTCCCCTTGCTCTTTCCGCATCAAACGCACCCAGCCCAGCGTCTGGTGCCACATCTGTGGTTACATTCACCTTAAATGTAGTGGTCTTACCCACCTTAACCAACACCACCTTGACTACTATTGCCCTACCTGTACCTCTACCTACATTTTACCTCCCCCAGGCACCAGGTCCTCTAACTTGACCACCCCCAACTCCCAAACTTGTTCAACTTCCCTAACCGCCCCCCAACCCCACCTCCCTAACCCCCCTCCCCCTCCCACCCTTCCCACCTCCTCGAATAATAATTCCTCCTCCCAAAATCGCGCAAATCGTAATCGTGTAAATAGTGTAAATAACTCAAGTTCAAACAACCATTTTAATCATACTGCTGTTAATAATGTAAATAGTTCACCACACCCTGCCAAAGGCCTTTTAAAAATCCTTCAATTTAATTGCAACGGTATCTCCGGAAAAGCACCCGAAATTGCTGCTTTCTTATCTCAAAATCAAATTCATATTGCTGTCTTCCAAGAAACTAAATTAAGAAAGAAATCTCGAAACCCCTCACTTGGCTCACACTACACTTTAATTAGAAAAGATCGAGAAAAAGAAGGGGGCGGTCTTCTCGTAGCCATACATGAGTCGATACAATACGAAGAAATAAATATTAACAACGATGGAACACTAGAGGCTATGGGCATATCAGTGGTAGCCAGTTCATCCAAGCTTCGTATTTATAATTTCTACATCCCCCCTCGCTCGAGCTGTCCCCCTGGTTACTCTGCGTCCCTTGCCGAACTACTTGAACCTGGGGACGCCTTAGTACTCGGAGATGCCAACGCACATTCACAACTATGGAACTCCAACATCGAGGAAGATCAACGCGGCTCTGTACTTAGCAATGAAATAACCGAATCCACCTTTGCTCCATTAAATGATGACACACAAACCAGAGTCCCTTTTAACTCAGAAAACCAACTCTCGTCACCAGATATTTCCCTCGCATCCCAATCGCTCTTACTCTCCACATCATGGACCCCAATTAAATCTCTAGGATCAGATCACCTACCCATTCTTCTAGAACTACCCTTGGATGATTTTATAAATTTTTCGCCTAAAAGGACTTTTGTAAATTTTTTAAAAGCAGATTGGATCAAATTCACAGAGGAAATTGAGGAGGGTTTCTTTTCAGCGGTTCCACCTTCCGGAGTTGCCGCTGGAGAGAAATTCTTGAGGGACCTGGTGCTCAGGGCAGCACGCCACCACATCCCCGCTGGCCGTATTCGCCACTTCACTCCCTCTCTTTCCCCCGAGTCCACTGCCCTAGCCGCCGAAAGAGATTTAAGCCGAAAACAAAATCTCCCCCCAGAAGTCATATCCCAACTGAACTGTAGACTCATGAAACAGACAGCAAAGGACAAAGAAAATAAATGGCGAGAATTCCTCCGGACTTGCGACTACCGCACTGGTGCCAGAAAGTTCTGGAAAGTGGTACGCTCCTTAAATGGATCTAAGCCCGTGGCAGGAAGACACCCCATTACTTTTGGTTCTAAACCCATACACTCACCTCGTGATATTACCAGCTCTTTTAACAAACAATTCACCAATGCCAGACCCCACGCCTCTGACAAACTCCTTCGTATAACGAGAAGAAAAATTGCCAAACTACCACTGTCAGACAGCCCAATTTTTACCCCTGAAAATACTAAACAAGCCATTGCAGACAGCAAACCATCGCGAGCGCTAGGTCCCGACGGCCTCTGTAATATACATCTTAAACATCTCGGCCCACTTGCTACTCAATACTTAACATACCTTTTTAATATCTCTTTGTCCGAAAACATTATCCCCCAAATTTGGAAAAATTCAAAAATTGCACCGCTTCCAAAGCCCAATAAGGATCTTAAACAATCAACATCTTACAGACCTATATCCTTACTCTGCCCAGCAGTTAAAATTCTGGAGAGGCTCGTTCACCCCATCTTTACCAAACATCTCCCCAACGCCAAACACCAACACGGCTTCCGCCCTTTTCACTCCACCACCACAGCTCTCTCCACTCTCGAATTTTACATTTCAGACGGTTTTAACCAAAATCGCCCCCCTAAACGTACGGTACTGGCCACACTTGACTTATCTAAGGCTTTCGACATGGTGTGTCATCGCTCACTTGTGGAACTCGTTCATGACACTCCCCTCCCAAGAAGTCTAGTCCGCTGGCTAAGTAATTACCTTAATGGTCGACAGGCTGCCACCTCATTCCGTGAACACACATCCCCCCATCGAATAATCCACTGTGGCGTACCCCAAGGTTCTGTTTTATCACCCACACTCTTCAATTTTTATGTCCATGATGCACCGCCACCTCCCGATAATGTAAACCTTGTTTCGTATGCAGACGATTTCCACCCCTTCGCAAGCAGTTCCAATATTGATATCGCCTCAAACTCCCTCAATAGCTACCTAAAAAGGCTCTACGATTTTTTCACCTCACGCAAACTAAGTTTCGCGTCCTCTAAAGGATCAGTTACACTTTTCTCCTCTTATAACAAAGAATTTAATAAAACACCTAGTGTTCTTTTAAATAACGAGGCGCTACCCCTAAACAAAAATCCAACAATCTTAGGGGTGACATTTGATCCAACACTTTGTTTTGCCACTCACTGCAAACAATCCGCTGAAAAGGCCAGACGCAGGATCGGAATCCTGAAGGCATTAGCAGGATCAACCTGGGGTCACTCCAAAGAAACCCTCCTCCTAACTTTTAAAGCTTTAATTCGCCCCATACTTGACTATGCAGCCCCCGCATGGTCCCACGCATCAAGTAACACCTCCATAAATTGCCTGCAGGTTGCCCAAAACCAATCCCTTCGCGTTGTTACTGGATCAAATCTAATGAGTTCAACTGCCCACCTGCACAGTGAATCTGAAATCCTAACGGTCAAAGACCACCATACCCTTCTGTCATCTCAATTTTTTATCTCTACCTATCGTTCCCACCATCCCATTAATTTTATACATTCACATCCCCCTCCTCCCCGTCTACTTCGCCCCTCAATTATAAGCTGCTTCAAAGAAGACACCCAGAAAATTTTAACCGACTTTTCAGTCTACGCAAACCACCCTCTAGTTCTGGACGACCGAGACGAAGTCTCCACTTTTATTTTTAACTACTACAAACCAATTTTAAAAGACAACCATACCTCCCTTGTAACCAAGTTCCTAGCCGAAACCCCTCCGTCTAAAGTTATTTGTATCCCTCCCCCAAAGATTGACCCCTCTGAAAAATCTCTCCCACGTCCCACGCGCTGTAAGCTCTCCCAACTCCGGTCTGGCTACAGCCGGCTCCTTAACACTTACCTATCCCGCCTCGACAGCTCCATCTCCCACCTTTGCCCAACCTGTTCCCTTGCCCCCCACACAACATGTCACCTTTTCAACTGCTCCCAAAACCCCTCCCCACTCACCCCAGCAGACCTGTGGCTTCGGCCGGTAGAGGTTGCTAAGTTCCTTGACCTGGAGACAGAAGAGCCCAACCCGACCCGCGTGGGCTAACAACAACAACAACAACAACAACTGAGACGTACTGTCACTCACAAGAGCTCGCAAATTCGCGTCCATAACACTAGTGAACACCGGACTTGAGCCTAATGCTATTTGCGCTGGTGTAAACCCATATATATATATTGTGTAAATGATTATGAGACGCACATGAAACTGCCAGAGCTGGGTCATGATCGAGGTCTGGATGTTCTGTTTTAACTTTGTAGCTACATTCTTTCAGTACAAGGTTGTTTCTTTCAAAAATTCCATTGCTGAAAGGGAAATACAAGGCTGCTGTTATCGTGTTATCGTGTTTAGGTAGAGTTTTTCACAAAATTCTTGCAGCATGTCATTATCAAACTCACGCCCGTTATCTGTAAGGATTGCTTCTTTGGGCGGGCCGAATGAACATATCCAGTTCTTATACAAAGCACTGAAAATGCTTCTGGCGGATTTATCGTTAACAGTTACAGCAACACAGTACCTCGAAAAAACACATATTATCGGCAAGAACCAATCACCACCTTTCAGGCAAGATAAATCCAAGGCTAACACCTCGTTGAAGGAAGTGCAAAAGGGCATGCTGACAATTGGTTGTCTAGCGGGGCGAACGCGACTATGACAGAATTCGCACTTCTCATGGCATTTCTGTAGTTCGTTAAGTGAATAACTATAATTTGCTGAGGTTAATAATCGCTTCAGAGCAATCAAACTGCAGTGACCAAACTGCTTGTGTAGCTTCGATAATTCTTGAGCGCTCACGAATTTTTTCGAACTGTCAGTGACAAAGGACTAGCTCTCATTCTTCGGTGAGCAAACTGGTGACAAGGGCAATATGTAATGGCCTGATGAAGACGTTCTGAGAGCAATTTTCTGGCCAAAAATATGTGCTGTATCTGATTCTGTGTCGAGGCGGAACTTTGCTCTTTTTAGCGGCTTCTTACTGATCAAAAATGGCAATTGCCTTCGATTACATCTGCTTCAACGGTACACTTCTGACCGCGCAATAAAACAAGGAATCTTCGCTCGAAACACAGCGTTCTGCCGTCCCATGTTCTCAAACATGATTCGAGTCTCTGATGCCCACGTTTCTACGATTTTCCCATCTGGCAAGCCTTTAATGAAAAAATCGAGCCACACGGCGCCACAAACATTGTTTGTACAACCGGTATCGTTAATTCCATAGTTGACAGTCTCATTGTGAAACCTGGAATTCATAGCAAACCAAACTACCATGATGTTGGTCTGCTCTGATCTTGCACACAAGGCGAAAGTGACCATAGATTCTTCGTCTAACTCAGTTGTTTCTTCAGTTTCGAATGCTTCTTCAACCATTTTTGGATTTCTGCTGCTGAAACCATCCTTTGAGTTGTCCAAATCCGGACATTTTTTCACATAGTGATAAATAGAACCACAGATAACACATCTGTTAAGCTTTCTTTGTTTATTTCTGGGATTTGTCTTCTCCACTCCGCCTTCTGTCGCGTACCGTCTTTCTTAGATCTGAAATCGTTTTTGCATCGATCAGAGTTCCTGTAGTTGTTGTTATTCGCGAAAAACACTTCTGGTTTAACAGATCCAATGCTCTCTTCGCCGATTTCTCCAACTCCTACAAACATTCTTAAGACCTTCTTCACTTCACTGTTTTTTTGTCTTGTTACAGCTGGTAGCAACATTTGCTTCTGGTACTGTTGCAAATCAGCAATTTCGAGAAGCTTACAGCACTGCAATTCTTCTGGGAGCTCTAGGTTATGAGTTTTCAGCTTCGTATAGCGCTTTTCAAATTCAATAAGGAACTCGGACATTGATAGGTCTCCTCGACGGAAAACCTCGAAGTTCGAAATTGTGATAAGCTTCATATGCACTGTTTATTGTCTCTTTTTTTTGAAAATTTTCATCTAGAATTTTCAGCAAATTTGTCGTCCATCTGCTGTATCCAAGTGTTCAACTGGCACTGCAGTTGCAACTTCTCTATATTTGCCGGAGAGCGATAGAGTAACAGCAAGGGCCCGTTTTTCTTTCGCCAACTGTTTTTCTCCGCCAAATGTCCACTTCGTCCGCCATCTATCATAATTAATAGCATCGTTCAAAGTGGTGAGGTCAGGCGGTGAGTTCTTGTATGAGGTCATTGCGAACTACCTCCTGCTACCATTTGTTAAAATACATCGTTGGATAAAATATATTGAATTGAGGCACAACGACAAACGTACAATCCAATATCTGAATTACACATATAGATGAGATTAATCAATTAGATACATGTAAGCACCAGACAAGTACGTTACTAAAGTAAACAATAGACAATTACAAATCAACACAAGCAGCCTTTCAGTTTTTTTTTCAGGAAAAGTCGTTAAATTTATTCAGGATCAAAATCAATTTTTCGCGGTGAATTTTGATTTATTTTTAAAGTTCAGTTCCTTTCCTTTGTTAAAAATGAGGCAAACTCCACCATCTAACAGGGAAAGTGAAAAGGGCACGAAAAACGTGATCGACCTCTAGTATCGAAAATGGTATTTAGTTATCGAATTTTCCAGCGAAATAAAAATTTACCTATTGATCCAATTTTCTTAAATTGGGTTAATTTTATCAAAAAAAGTGTCATAAGTTGTTCTATAAATTCAAAGAGCTCTAAGGCCATCTTCTTGTTCTTTGAAAATCGAAAGTCCGTATTTTTTTCTGTTTACTTGCGTTCATTGACTCTTTTCAAACTGGCTGTTTTTGTACTTTTTGTTTTAATTGAAATGTTTTTTTTTCAGGAAATGGTTGTCAGCTTAATGGAAGCTTTCTTCGTTGTAATATGTACTAATGTAAGTCAACCAACTTCCAAACTCTATTCAAATTTTATGAGCCTTTTTTGTGAGCTAATTGATTTCAGATCTCAAGAAAGCTGAAAAAGTCAGCCAGTTTGCCCGAGCTGACAGACGGAATTGTCAATGAGAACCTAATTTTGGTGCCAAGTTTACTGAAAGCGTCAGTCTACATGAACAATAATGAGGTTGGTCGAGTTTTTTGTCAAAAACCTGTGTTTTCGTTTTCTGCAGACAAACAATGTAATCTTGTTACTATTGGTTTAAAAAGTTAATTTAAAGAGAAGAGATGTTGATTTGTATTTGATCAATTTTCTGATAAAATAAACGGTGTGAAAAGTTTTTTAAGGTAGAAAATTAATGGTTTAGGACGGGGTTGAAAAAAAATTATACGGAATAGGGATAATGTAATGATGATATCCACTCGCTGTTTATTTTTTTTCAGGTGCTCTTCCCCAAAGACTTTATATCATACCCTTCGACCAGACTGGAATTCCTTAGAATGAGGACGGAACCTTCTATCACCAAGTTGGATGCAAATAACAGGTTAATTTTGATTCATGATCACTGTTTAAATCAATTTATCAATTAATATGCGCATCTAAACGTCGTGAAGACTTTCATTTAGGTCGAGTGTTTATATGAAATTCCAAGGAGTTGTATGGAAAACTTATTAATCATGTTTTCCCTGATAGCCTATATTTTTCAATGAAGACTATCATCAAAGGTTCTCGATTTTTAAATGGCCTCATTATGGTAATTTGCTCTAATAAGCAGCAGTTTATGAAGGCTGCAACTGCCTGTTGGCTGTTTTACAGCCGAAATTTGGCTCCGATATGATCTGCAATGTGCTCGTTCAGTAATCAGTTGGTATTTAGAGTTCTGGATAACAAGAGGTAAAACTGTTTCTTGATGTCAGTTGTTTTAACATTTATAGAACTGTTTTTAAACGGATTCTAACTTTTAATCTATCTTTATCATTAAACATAACCTTTCATGGATAAACTATTGATCACCCGTTGTGACGTCTAGAGCTCCCAGTCCGATTATCTGTTTGCGGGGTTCTAGTTGTTTTTGTATTTTACACCTTAATCTACAATTGTTACTGTTACATAGCAGTAACTAGACAACCCTGTATTCATACTCGTCACTAAGTAGACGAATACTATATTAACGAATCAGAATCGAGATAGGGTCAGATAGATTATTTATTTCGTCAGTTTGTTTTTTTGTCTCTATTCTGTTTGTTTAATAAAAGATTGGTATGTTTACTGACCAGTATGAACAAGTCGGTTGTCTACTTACAGACCGCACTCCAATTGTTATGTATGGTTTCACAAAATCAAATAGTTATGAAAAGATAATTTATTATGTTCCTTTTGATATGAGAGGCGACCTGGCGTTACTAGAAAGTTCTACTAAGTTTCATATATAAGATAACACCATTTATACACAAGGGAAAGGAGCAGCATACGAGATGTTCAGCTCATTGCGGCTAACCGCTGTTGTGCTCCTTATTGTTCCGACTTTCGAAGAAAACGGAATATTTATGCTCGGTGTGTTTTTTTTCGCCGATTGAAATAATAGTATTCGACAAAAATTTTTTATACCCCATTATCGACTTCCTGAGCTCAAATGTAAAAAGATTGTTTTTTGGAAAGTTCTGGGGGTTTGAGAATTGCCAAATTGCCGTTCTGGACTAAATTATGCGCGCTTTGAAGAATTTATTCATATTGGTGATATCGTAACGCGAATCATTATGCGTGGTGAATTATCCCGCACAACAAAAAAATCTTTTCAAATTGAATTGAGGCTAGCTAATTTGTCGTATTAATTTCGTATGACTCGCTTTCAATATTACCCCCCCCCCAAAAAAAAAAACTATTCGATATGAATTAAGGGAAAGTCGGAACATTCAGGGCTTTGCCCTGATATACGAGCAGCCTTGTTCAGACTTATTTCCGTTTCTTGGTTTTTTTTGGGCTGGTAAAAATAGCATCATCCTTGCAAGCGACGAGCGTGGAGTACTGTGAACCTCGAACCGCCGACCTTTCCGAGTTTGGGAACGCGATTTTTTTTGAACAAGCGAGCATACGAGCGTTGTTTTAAGGCCAGAGTACTTTATGGCGGCCAGTCATACAGATCGGTTGTCTGGTCATTCCACTTATTTTCCAATTCAAGTCGCATTTTATGCTCAAAAGATTTCGGGTTAATACACAGTATATGGTTTAGCTATATCTTTCTCAGAGCGCAGTTCTTTGCTCCCTGATATATACGAATTCAGTATGTGGGATAGTAGTTTAAGGCAAGAGGCAATGGATCCAGGGGCGGATCTAGGGTTTTCTCGAGGGGGGGGCGGATTTTCGAAAATTTTTTGAAAATTTCGACGATCTGTTTTTTTTAGGTCGACCAAATTGATTTTCCGAGCTCTCCTAAAGCACTTTAAAGACGCTGTTTTTGGCAAATTTTCTGCGCCGCAGGCAAATTTGTGAAAAAACAGGTCAAAAAGTCGTTTTTGGGCAGTTTGGAAAATTTTGACAAAAAATTGCTTTATTTTGGCGCGCGCTCCCCCTCAAAATTAGTATATACAAAAATGGTTCTCCTTAAAAGTACCAACGGGGGGTACCCTTTGGGTCGGCAGGGGTCGAATAACTGAGGGGGAGGGGGGCGTCCCCTCTCCCCCTAAATCCGCCCCTGAATAGATCAGAGGCCAAGACAAGTAAATCGTAGTCCGGTGGTTAGAGTTCAATTCGCCTGGTATCAATTTGTTGAAGTCATTTTTTTTCTTGTTTCAGTGTTTTTTGGTGTTGTATAAGCTCGGTGGCCCTGCTTATACATCACATAAAAATCAAAGAAAAATTCCGAAATAAAATTTATGATTTCCGGTTTCTTAAACTGTTCTCCAATTTGCGGCTCCAATTTTCCAACTAAAATTGTTTTGAGTGGTATGAGGTTATTTCCGTCGTGTACGCATTTAAACAACCTTGCGTTTCTTTCTTTTTTGGCTTAACTGCTGAATGTTGTATGTTTTGCTACCGAAAATGGAATCAGTTTCAAATGATCATGTTTTTCGTTTTAGTAACATGTTTTTATAGTGTTTGTGATTTGAGAAGTGGTCTGGCATTTTCACATGTAAAATTTTATTAATAACTATGAACTAGGAAAATGCAGATTATTTTGATTCTGAACAGAGTTTTGTCCCGCTGATAGCGAAAGTGGTCATAAAAGCGGCCGATCAAGGAGTATAAGCGAGAGCGGCAAAAGCAATGGCGAGTTTTCCAAAGCAAAAACAAATGAGTTTTCAAATTCCCAGAAGTTTACCGAAAAGATCGCAGGTAATTTTTTCTAAAACTTGAACTCAAGGAGTCGATATCTTTTTTGAACATATTGTTTTAAGGAAACTATTTTGATTGCTCATATGGTCTGAATAAAACACCCTGCCATATAAATTGCGCTGTTTTTTGTAAATCGTAAAAATGTTTCTTCTCAGCTTTTCTTCATCATAAAGAAACTTTCCATGGTGAAATTTGCGAAGAATGTTAAGTAAACACACAAGACTACTCGTATATCAGGGCAAAGCAATGAAGGTTCTGACTGCCCCTTAATCCATATCGAATAGTTTTTGGGAAAATATAATATTGAAAAATTATACATCTTGGACGAAATCCAGGGTAAAATTTGAGTAGTACGAAATTAATAAGACCAATTAGATAGCCTTAATTCAATTTGGAACGAGTTTGTTACGCGGTATATTTCACCACGCATAAATATGTCGCGTTACTTTTTCAGCATTATGAATGAAATCTTTAAAACGCGCATAAATTAGTCCAGACATGGCCAAATTGGCAATTTTCTTAACTCCCAGAACTTTGCAAAAATTGATCGGAGGTAAAATATTTTTTTCTTTTTTGTTTTCAGCTGTCAATACATTCAATGGGTATAAATTTTTGTTGTTAAAAACTAATATATCGATCGCCAAGAAATGACTGAATAAAACAAACCACCCCAAGCATAAAGAGTCCGTTTTCTTCGAAAGTCGGAACTATAAGCGGTTTACTTAGACATGCGAAACAGAGAAATGCAAATTCCGTGATAGCGGAAGGCGGTTTTAAAAAGCGAGGACAATACTCTGCTTCTGAACTATTTACTTCATATTTCAATTTGTACGTTTTTTGAAGCTTCTTGTTCCGAGTCAGAGGGTTTATGAACGAACTTGTTGTGTGATAATGTAAGCACAATTATGAGCTCTTAGAAATGAATTCAAGATTTGTGCAAAGTTTTTAGCCAGTTTATTTTCCTCCTGTTGCTTGATTTGAACTACACTAGCCGTATACGGAATTTTGTTGATATAAAACTGTCAAAACTTGAAATATTAACCAAACGTTGAAAAGTTTTTTTTTGTGTTCCTTTTATCGGTTAATTAGTTCCTGCTTAGTTGTACGAGGGGTCATGAAAAAGAGGGTTGCTTCTGTATCAAATTACACAATGAAAAGTTTTATGCGAGATGGAATATTCTGATTCTGTTAACATGCGGTTTTTTATACGGAATGTTTGAAGCTTAATAAGGGAGGAAATATTTGCTCTCCAATAATAACAATGCAATTGGCAGTGAAATGAGGTTTCAAAATTGTATTTTATTTTATTGTTCCGACCATTTGAAAAATGTGGCAGCACTTTGTATTCGGGTGTGTGTTAGTTTTTTTTGGTATTCCACGCAACATCAGGTACAACAAATAATCAGCAAAATGGGTCAAGTGATATATCATATTGAAGCTCTTTCAGTCGTGATTTGAGCGACATCTTCAATTAAATTTGAAAAAATCTTAGTGTCAAGAAAAATTAAAATTTTCTACAATTTTGAGCGAATAAGGTTCTTACAGCTTATTTATGCTTAATTTAAGTCGCGAAAACTTAGGTTTAGAACTTTTTGTTAGTTTTTGAGTTTTTGGAAGAGTAAAGTTAATTTTTGGAGTTTGGGTAGCGCTAATTTGGGAATCAAAGTTCTCCAGTTGCCATTTTTAGCTATGACTGTCGAATATGCCTGAGCAGGGGTGGATCTAGGCTTTTCGCGAGGGGGGGGCTGATTTTCAAAAAAAAAGTACGGAAAATTTTATTGACCTGTTTTTTAGGTCGACCAAACTGATTTTCCAAGCTCTCACAAACCACTATAAAGGCGCGATTTTGACCAAATTTTCTGCGCCACAGGCAAAAAAAGCTAGAAAAGGCGTTAGAAGCACTTTTTGAAAAGTTTTAACCAAAAAATTTAGTTTTTTTTTCGGCGCGTGGTTCCCCCCAAAAATTAGTACATATTTTTGCGCCTTCAGAAAAAAATTTAGGGCCCGTCAGCCAAAAATGATCTCAAAATAGTACCAAGGGGGGACCTTTTGGCCTATTGCGTTGATTTGTATCAAAGAAATGTCAAAATTGAAAGAATAACTGAAATTCAAAGAGCATTTAAAATTATATATATATTTTTTAAAACTTCAAATAAACACTTCATCTGTGTTAGGCTTTTCTTCGAATTTATTAATATTTTTCCACCTATTTGGTGGCTATGTTTTCAACATCCGACACTGAAATTAGGAACAAGAAATCATAACAATAGCAAATGATCCTTTTTGAGAAGCGTATAGAAGTGTGTTTTGTTCTATGTAGACAAGAAGTGTTGGCCTTTGCTATCAGACAGTACAACTGTTTTGCGGGAGACGCGTACATCAAATCTCAGGAAGATTTCTGCCTCATGTGCTCTTGGTGAGTTCACTCTTTTTCTCAAGTCAACAATTTGCTAATTTTATTCATGAAATAATGTACCAACTTTCTAAAATTTGACCGTTTAGTTATGAATGCATTTATGTTTTTGTCTTGGGAAAAAGTTGCCTCTCGGTTTAAAATTGATAGTTGGGTTCATAGAACCTAGTTGGGTTCCTAGAGCTTGCAATGACGAAAAAATGGTCTTGTTATGTTTCTAAAAAGCTTAAAAAGGCAACTAGCACAAATACAAAAGTTTTGTTCTTAAAAACTCTGATGCACATAAAATGTTTCTGAAAACTTCGATGCGCATACAAAGTTTCTGAAGGTTTTGAGGCGCATAAAAAGGTTCATTTGTATATAGGTATCGAAAAAGTGATCCTCTGATGTGAGGCAGAGTCATTAGCCTTAACGTCTTCTCTCTTCAATTAATTGTAGCTCTTTTTCAGTATCGTTCTTAGCGGATTCGATTTGAGGCGACTCAAGTTTTCATATTCTGTTTCTTCCTCGGAAGTGAGGTCTCACCTGGCTCCTAAAAGATTCGTACTGTCCCAGTTCCTGGTCATGGAGATGCTGCAGGGTCTTTACCAACTATCGTAAGTCGCTTTCTCGTCTCTCCGGTGAATCGCAGTACTGAGGGTTGATTAAAATGACTTAAAAGTCTGTTTTTGAACCTTGTTTTTTGGCCATAGAGTGTCTTGTCTTTTGATGTTCCCTCAATGCCTCACCAAGAATTGCAATTAGCAGTTATGTTAGCCAATAGTGATTGATTTTTCGAAAATTTGAAACAAGATTTTGAATGTGTTAAGCAGTCAATTTTGAACAGTGAAAGCAAGGTGATTGGTATAATATGTTTTGGCTAGTAGTTCTAGTTGAGGGTGTCTTAATTGAACTCTTGCTTAGTAATGTGCCGACTCGGGCTAGGTCTTTTAGCTGACCATAGAGTGTCTTGTCTGTTGATTAGGTGATCTTCCCTCAATGCCTTTAAGCCGACCGGTCTTTTAGCCGGCTCAAAACAATTAACAAGGGAAGTTCAACTCCAGACTGCATGTGTCATTACTTTGTTCATCTAGCTAAAAGACCCCAATGGTGGTCTGCTAAAAACGGTCCACGCTGACTTTGATTTGTTATCTAACTATTTAGATTTTACCTTTGTTATGTAATCATTTAGATTCTACCTCTCAGTGCGCAACTGCAGTATGAGAGCACTGGAACATGTCTCCTTCCGAACTAGACACTCCCTCACGCCAAATCTCATCATGCTAGCCGACTCAATTTGCACGGCTGTAGATCGCAGCTGCCTCAAACAGAACCGAGACATCCTAGCAGAGCCAGAGGTTCTTTTTAATATCTTGTTTTGTTAAAATAATAATAAATTGTTTTCTGGTTCATACTTAATGACACAATTATCGAATAATTTAGTTCAGATTTTTAAGCCTGAGCGAATGTCATCAGAGCGTATGTCCCATTTTAAGAAATGTCCCAACCACGCAGTGGTCAAGACCTTTGTATTTAGGTGTTTTTCGTATGTTTATTGAAAATTCGAGCACCACAAAAAACTTCGACGTGTCAGTCAAAATTCGAACAGTCTTTAAAATTCAAAAAAATCTTGGTGCCAAGAAAAAGTGTTTTTTTTTCGCAAAATATATCCAAAACATTTACTTGCTCAGCAGTTGGCTACTTCAGTTTTTGTTGAAGTAAGTTTATCTGCTGGGTTATGTTTTGTCATTGAGTTGAAGCATTCCGGGGAAATTGTTGAAGCAAGTTTATCTGCTGGGTTATTTTTTGTCATTGAGTTGAAAAAAAAGATCTCTGCGTTGTGATAGATAACGAATATTTTGCAATCAAATAAATCAGTGCAAAAAGTGAAAGTTAATTGGTAGAAAACAAGGGCAGATCTAGGACTCTCTCGAGAGGTGGGAGCAGTGGTCTCATTTTGAAAAAATTTCGTCATTTTTGTCGACATTTTTAAGGAAATTTTTGAGAAAAAAACAAGCCAAAAAAGGCGGCACATTTTGGACTTTTTTGACCGAAAAATTGAGTTTTTTCGGCGCGCGCTCCCCCTCTAAATTGGAAAAAATTACGCTTTTATGTTTTTTTTTGAAAAAATACGCCTTTAGAAAAAATATAGGAGAGTCAGCCAAAAAAAAAGATATCTCAAAATAGTACAAAAGGGGGACCCTTTAGGTCGGCAGGGGTTCGAATCCCTGAGTGGAGAGGGGCGTCCGCCTCTCCCCAAAATCCACTGGTGGTAGAAACGATAATTTATAAAGGTTCGTTTGTGTTTGAAGGTTTCCTACCAGGAGCGCCAGGCAATAGTAACCTCAGATTCACTTCGCATCGCAGCTCGACGAGAAAGCATCCGACTCGATAAGCTCGAAAACTTTGGACCCCACATTCACGGTGAGTCAATTCTGCTTTAAAATGAAATTTTCGGGCAATGTTGACTCCCTTGATTTCATGCAATACTATACTCGTACATGTTAACAAATTTCTCTGACTTCTCTTTAGTTTTTTTTGCTCTGTTGAAATAAACTGGTTTATATAGCGTCTAAAATGGAATTCCTTTTCGACCGTTGCTTAACGTTTTTGCTAACCAAATTTAGGCAAGTTTTATGTTTTTTTTTCAAAGAATATTTTTTGGAGTTTATTTGCTTGCTAGTTTTTTTTAAGAGTCATGAACGCATTGAAGTTTCTTATACTGGTCTTAGTGATTTTTTTGGGGAGAAGTTCTTATAAATGCTCTAATAAATACAGAAGTGCATTCATTCATATTAATAAATACATTTAAGAGTTCTGCTCAAATCTGCTAAAAGTTAAGAAAGTTGCGCTCACCAGCAACGAAAGGGAAATTGCCGCGAAACAAGCTGATGGACTTCTAATTTCGAAAATCGATTTTAACATTTCAGCGGAAGAATTTTTAACCAATGGTTTTGTTTTCTCAAATTGAGTTAACTTTATCAAAAAAATGTCAATCGTAAACTCTTCCTGAAGTTCAAAGAGCTATAAGGCCATATATTTTTTACTTGCAAATTTGAAAGTTGAAAATTTTCTTTTCAAAAAACGACAGTTTATTTCTGTTTCATTGGGTTAATTGACTCTTTTCCAACTGTCTGTTGGCTTTATTTTATTCAATCATTTTTTGACTTTCACGGAATTTTTCTGTACCATTTGATAGATATGTTTGTCCGGAGCTCAAAGGCTAAAGCCATAACTGTGATTTTTTTTTCGCGAAAGTATGGGAGGTTGGAAAGTCGACAATTTGGTATGTTAACGCGCGATATATTGAATTCGTATTTCACAGTTAAGCTGCCGAGTAAGTTTTTTTTGGTCTTCTGATCAGGCCACGACGCTAAATACATTCCTTTCTACTTAAATATCGTGATGGGGATAAACTGAAAAAATATATATTCATATATATTTGAGTTTATTTAAGAGTCGATGAGCGTAGTTCAGACTCTTATATAGGCCGCGATGATTTTTTTGTTCTGGAAAATGTCTTCGAAATTCACTTTTTGGGTTTTACATTTAATTTCTTTTGTAATTTACTTTGTTAAAAGGAAGGCAAACTCCACTATCGGACAGCGAAAGTGTAAAAGTTGCGAAAAACGTGATCGACTTCTAGTTTCGAAAGTGGAATCTACTTTTCAGATTTCCTAGCGAAATAAAAGTTTACTCTTTGATCCAGTTATCTCCAAATGGGTCAATGTTATCAAAAAAATGCCAACCGTAAATTGTTCTAGAAGTTCAAAGAGCCTTAAGGGCGTCAATTTTTTTTCTTTGAATTTCGATGAAAAACAAGTGAGTATTTATCTGTTACCTAGCGTTCATTGACTTTTTCAAACTGTCTGTGGTCTATGTTATTAGACTTGCGATAGCAAGTTTTTTGTAACCGGGTACTAGACTTTTTTCCCGTAAAAACTTTGTTCACAGAATAGTCAAAACATTGTGGTTGCTTTTAGTGTTTCGATTTATGTATGCTGTTTTACTAGCCCTGACTTCTAATGTTTTTTTGCTTAAAACTTTAATCTGGCCAAATGATTCCATTCTAAATTTTATCGGCTTTGTGGTCTTTTATTGCCCGGGTTTGTGGTCTTTTATTGCGTCGTTTGATAACCGGAAAATTATTCATCTGCGTGTGTGTGTCTTTTGGTGGGGAGGGGGCTCGCATACTTCTAAATTAGTTTTTGTTTCACTATTTTTTTTGGCTGAAACGGTTGCTGCTCAGGTACTTGACGTTTTTTACCGCTCGGGATGTTAGCTTCCCATTCTAATTTCATATTCTATTGTCTTGGCATATTTTTTTCTTTTCAAAAAACTGGTTTTATTTTTTTTGATTTATCTAGTTTTTTGGTAGTTCAGAATGTTTTCGATTTTTTTGATTGAATCGCAAGTAGTTTTGCTTCGCCTCTCAGTTTTTAGGTGGCCTTAAAGTGCAGTAGGAATATTCAGAGCTTTGTGCTGATAGGCGAGCAGTCTTATTGTGTCGCAGTGAAGACATTCATATAGGTTGCTATAATTTTTTCAGGAATGTTTTGTTTGCGCTGAGTTTTTTTTCTTCTTAAGTTCAGCTCATTGCCTTTGTGAAAAGGAAGGCAAAATCCAAAATCAAACAACAAGAGTGTAAAGGTAAGGAAAATAAAGATTTTTAAATTTGAATGTGGATTTTAATTTTTAGATTTCATAGCGGTATAAATAATCTACACATGCTTCCAGTTTTCTAATATTGTGTTATTTTATTCAAACAAAGTGCCGATCATAAATTGTTCTTGAAAACAAAATAGCTTTAAGGCCATTTATAAAGAAACATGTCTGTATTTTTTATTTTCTTTTTGCTGATTTCCAACTGTATCTTGTCTATGTTTTTCAATGAGAAATGAAGCGCATTGCTTTTGCAAAGCAATATTTTCCTATGCTATCAGTATTTAATTGACAATATTAATTTGATTTAATTTACTCTTTTAGCTTTTGAGAAATGATTAAAATTGGTGGCTTTCTTTTTTGTTCTGCTTGTCTGCGCTTGATTTTAACTTTCAAATGTGAGTCTAGTGTTAAGAACTTCAAGATTAAAAATGAGATTGGATTAATTTCTAGCTCATCGATCTTAGTATAGCTGGAGCTCAATAATTTTTTTCCTGCGATCTGTTGTCAATGATCAAATTTAATTTGTTACTTGAAAACCGTAACCTTGTCTTGTTCTAACTCGTACATGTACAGTAATCAAATTATTACCAAATTCTACTAAATCATTGTTTTGCCAAATTATCGATATTTGCTAGGATTTTTTATTTTCACTGCACGTGAACATGTTTATTAAATAAACAACACCTGGCAATTTTTAAGAAACACCCAAAAGTAAAAGACGGTCAAGTGCCGCCTACGTCAAGAGTTCGTAAGTAGAGTCTTTCGCTCCTTTCCTTTAATAGGGTCAAGTTGCAATTCAAGGCCGAAAGACGGAAAATGCGGAAAATTTTACTAATTAATCAGATTTCAGTTCAAAAGTTTGAAATCAATAAGCTTAAAATTGGGAAAAGCCTTCTGTATTTTGGACATTTTTTGACAGATCAAAGGACATTGATTGAGTGAACTTTTGCGTTCCTTCGGCCTTGAGAATAGCCCCCATTTTAATCTATTTCTCTATCTGTCTCTGACAGTTATCTCTCAGGGGATTGATGATGGAGACACCGACTGTTGTTTCGCTGCAAAAAGAAGTTGCATTTTGATGCAGTTATTTCAGTAGAAGATGATTTGTTTTGTCAAACAGCAGACAGAAAGTGCCGATTTCTTAAGATTGCTTAAAATGGTTTTGAAACTTTTATTGTATTTTTCAGTCTTTTTTGAAATATTCAATATTTTTCTGTGAAGCGAACAATTATTTTAGCATCATTATCCCTTCATCGTAGCAAAATGATGAGAAATTCTAGAAAGAAGTGGACTGCTTTTTGACAACACGTCTTTCGGTTTGATTGTTACAGAGTTGGAAATGGTTGCGGCTTCAAATTGGGAAGAACTAGCATCTGATTATTTTTCCAATTAAACTCGAAGATATTATGTAATAGAAATAAAAGATCCGGATATTTTGACTCGGTTTTTCAATTTTCAACTCTCGGACACTGAATGCATGAACAACATACTTTCAGAACTATGCCCAGCATGACATGTATTCACCTGGTTCGCTTCTTACAGCAGCAAAAATGGTTTCATTGCGGCTTAAATTTTTCGCAATTGAATTCGCTGATCTATTTTCTTTCAAGTTTTAAAATTCTACTCGGTGATTTTTTTGTTCACGTTATTTTTTTTTTCGCGATTTGACTACTGATTTCTTTTTTTAATTAAGTTCATTTCTTTTGTTTGAAGGAACGCAAACTCCACCATCAAACAGCAAAAGTGTAAAAAAAAGCGTCAGCATCGAACAGAAAAAGTGTCAAAAAAGCGCCAATTATAAATTGCTCTTGAAATCCAAAGAGCTTTAATGCCATGTGTTTTTTTGTTTGCAATTTTCAAAAAAAAACAAGTCTTTTTTCTGTTTCCTTAAGTTTATGACTCTTTTTCGACTGTTTGTTGGCCATGTTTTGGATAACAATTTGACTACTTTCTAGTTTTGCTTAAAATATCAATAGAGCGGAAATAAATAACGTAATTCATCTTCAGCTTTGATTGAAATTCCATTTAAAAAAAATGCGTGGGTTAGGATTGAGTTCTGAAAATGAAGCTCAGAAAAGGGAAATGCAAATAAGCGAATTGTTGTGTTCATCTACCGTGAATCGTTTTGCCAGCGGATTTCTCAAGAATAAAGAAATTGCGATGTTTTCTGTGATAAGCAACTTTTTTCAACATCATAACAATTCAAAGAAACAAAATCTAAATTCCTGGGAGAATTTGTTCTTTTATCGCATTTATTAATCTGCTGGAAATTGCCTTAAATTTTTATCATTCTATTTTAATGTTATTCGATTTGATGTCTTCGTAAGAATTATTACCCTGAATGTAGCTGTTTATTTTTTATCCCATACGCAACTGGAATGTCAGACTGCATCTTACTAGCAGACTGAACTAAAATCTATTGAATTAAGTAGGTTCATGCAAGGGGAGTGTTTATATTTATAGACGTGGTATTTCGAACCTAAATCAACTTGACCAAAATAGAATTATGTAACTAGCGCGATGTCAAAACAATTCACCCTGCCTGCGTCACAGCAATGAAGGCACAAAATTAGAAGATAAAATTTGGGTGACGTTATAAAAAAATGATGGTCCAAATGACGCACTTGTGTTTAACCTTGCAGTCTTGTGGACGGAAAAGAGGCTTGAAAAATGTAATCTGAATTTAATCGAAATCTGAAAGTAGCCTGTTCTGCCATGCAAGGTTTTTACTGATAATGCTAAAGAATGGATGACAATTTCAATTTAACTTTGTTCAAATGATCCGGAAATCGGGAGTTGCTTAGTAGTTACATACCGGGAAAAGTTCATTTGCCATCCGCTAGAATATAGACAGACGTTATCAGAATGCTACACTTAACCAAGTTCAATAGTTAAATGCTGATTTAAACCAGAACCAATATGGAAGTGATTATCAGACGGTTCGTCGATTAAGATGCCGATATTATTTTTGAGGAGTTTTGAAGAAAATTGTCCAGACTTTAGATAGAAGTGACGGGATGTTTGTGCTCGTTGTTTTTAAGAGTCGATGAACGTTTTGAAAACTCTTAAAGATCGTGATGACTTTTTAAATTTGATTTTTCACGGTTCAACTTTTGAGTTGTTAAGTCAAAAAGGAAAGGATTTGTTTGTTAAAAGGAAAGCAAACTCCACAATCGAACAGCAAAAGTGTAAAGGTCACGAAAAACGTGATCAAATTCTAGTTTTGAAAATGGATTTAAGATCCAGCGGGACAAAATTACCTTATTACTGCAGTTTTCTTAAATTGGGATAAAGTTATCTAGTGTCAATCGTAATTCGTTCTACAATTTCGAAGAGTTTTAAGGCACAGTCTCTAAATCTGTTCAGGCTCAATTTTACTTTTACGATATTTTGTAGCAAATGGACCTGCTGATAAACCCTTAGATTATATGCGCTTAAAAAGCATTTTTCGAATCGTTTGTATTGCAAAATTGGAATAATTATTTGGTTAAGTTGAATATTTTTTGTTCCGAACACTTCACGAAATGAGAAGGGTTTAAGGCGTTGTGTGTTTTTTCCGTGAGTTCAGAAAATTTTTGTGGTAAAATATGATAACCTTTTTAAAACTCTTTAGCCGTGAATTGGCAAGAGTGCCTCAGGAAAAGCTGTTTTGTTTTGTGTTTTGACTAATTCGACACTGAATTTGAACCTAATTGTTATTTCTGATTAAGAGTCATGACCGTATTGAATACTCTTATTTAGGTCTTAGTGATTTTTTTCCAGGTAAAAATCCTGAAATTTGTTCAGGTTGAAATTTGATTTTTTTTAATTGATTATTTTTTACTTTTATGATTATGATTTACTTTAACTTGTTGTGGTTAAGTCAAAAGAAAGAAATGAATTGAGCCTTATTTTTTTAACTTTCTAGAATTATCGATCAATCTGACTTCACAAATTTGAGAAATGAATCCGATTTTGCTCTTCAAATATATTCTTCGCTTAAGTTGAGTTTGACAAATGAGCTTTAATGATATTAAAGTGTTTAGAATCGATTAATCAAGGATAGTTTCGCTTAACTCGATTTCTGGATAAAATAGGAGATATTTTGCTATTTTTCGAATATATTTCACAAAGCATATATTTTAAAATTGTCAAAATCTGATTTTTTTTTGCTTAGCAAACAGTTTTATAAATTGTTCACGCTCAAATTTGATTTTTCTCGGTTTGAATTATGATTTATGTTTCAAATCTTTTCAAAGTCATTTGCTGAAAGGAAGATCAATTACGCTCTGCAATTACGAAAGTGCCAATGGCTCGAAAAAATGACTTAAAGTTAAATGTGAATTATAATTTTTAGAATTCCTAGCGGAATAAAGCATTTATCTAATAATCGAGCTTTCTCAAATTCGGTCAATTTTCTCACAAAAATGTTAGTCAAAAATTTTCTGGAAATTCGAAGAGCTTGTTGGCCAGTTATTTTTTCTTTGAAATTCAAAATCGACTATAAATAACTAGTCCTCTTGGTCCGCTGTCTTTTGGCTTCGTTTTTCTCAAACTCGGAAAGTTGAAAGTTTTTCAATCATTGTTTTGTTACATTTGTGACAGCAAGTGTATTGCAATCGGGTACTAGTCTTTTTCCTCCGTAAATAACTTGCTTCACAGGATTTTAACAGCACATTTAAGTAGTTGTACTTCTAAAGCTGAAAATGTTTACAGATTTATATATTTTTAGGCTTTATGATTTTGTCCCAATTTTTTGTCGGCTTATTTGCCGGAATATTTATTTAGTAACATTTAAAATAGCTTTTAAGTACTTTTTCGATTCAATTCAGAAGATTGTTAATGTATTGATTTTAAGTTTTGGTTCTTGTTTTCGATTTTTTTCACCCTTAAATACGTGCAATCGCTATCAAGTATCTCAGCATCTTAAGTAGGTTTAGGCATTTTCTTTTTAAAACCCTTCAAGGTGATTGCACTGCGTATTATTTCAATAATTAAATATTTGAAAAAAAAAAACATAAATTTCCGGAAAGTTTTTGGTTGCAATTTTGACTTGGCAGTTTTGTCTAGGAAGGTATTTGGCAAGTGATGCTCCAGATTCAGAAACTGTTGTGCTTTCTGGCTGAAAATTTTTGAATTATTTTTGTTTTTTCACTTTTTTCTTTGTTCATTTATTGTTTTCGTTTTTTGTTGGTGTCATTTTTGTTTTCTGTTTTTGTTGGGATTCAACTCTCTTTCCGTTGCGTATTAACTTCATATTTGATAATATCGATGTAATCAATATCAGTTGATGAAGTCTATAGGTAGTAATTTAATTTCACAGAGTTTTTATAGGCTTTCTAGTAACTGTTCTCAATTGTGGCAGTTGTTTTGAAATTTTGTATTAAAATGTTTTTATTTTTCTTTTTTAATTTCTTTTTGGTTTTTGTTTATAGCAAATATTCGAGAGTTATTTTTCACAAACCCTTAGAACCTTAAGTTTCTAAAAGTCATGTGGTTTGTTTGGTTCCAAGAATTTTTCAAAGTTTTTTTGGGTCATCATTTTTTTAAACCAAACTTCACTTTTTTTTCAGTTTCATCTTTTGTTGTGAGACAGAATTGAATGAAGTTTGTAGAGCATGAACCCTTTTTATATTTAAGGCAATTGCTTTTTATAAAAGCCGACGATATCTTCAACAGAATTCATTGAATTATTTCACTTTTCGTGTGAGATAGATTTTTTCTATTTGATTTTGCATCGCTAGTGGTGCGAAGCTCTGCTTCGCCTCTGGGTCTAATTTTTCGTTTCCCTGACTCTATTGAATTTTTCCAACTGTCTGTTGACTAGGTTTGTTGATTTGGTTTTCTCAAATTGGGTAAGTTTTTTGAAAAATTGTTCTATCATACGAAAGTGCTTTTAATTGACGGAGCTGTAATGCGATGTAATTCGTTCTCAAAATTCATTTATCTGTTTGTTTGCTTTTATTTTTTTAAAGCTGTGCTTTTGCAAATCATATTGTTTAAATTGTGATATTTTGAATTCGCAAAAAAATACGATGTTTTTAACGCAAATTCACGATTTACAAGCTAAATTTTGGTTGTTGAAAACTGGAATACAAGCATTTTTCTCTAGTCTGCTCGAAGATGCCTGTACCTGAAGACTATTTGTTCTGAATTGAGTTAATCACCTGTTTTCAGGCGCAGAAGCTCCCACAATGAGAATGGGTCACAATAATAAAGACAACATTAGACGCCTGGGGCCGATTGACGATAACCAACGAGATTTGCACCAGAATAACCCGACAAATAATCACTTCTCTGATAAACAACAGAAACCGTCCAAGTTCGAGTACTCTCCAGATTTGAAAACAATCGAAGGTTCCCCGAATCGCTTTAAAATCCAATTGGCTAACGAAAACTCAACGGTGAGTTCAAGTGTGATGACGTCGAAACATTTTCACGGCCGCTCCGAACTCCGAACATCGCAGCTGCAACAAAACTCGATTGAGATGTACTCGCACACAACAACAACAACAACAGGTGAATCTCAAAATTTTAGTGCAGTGAACAATATTAATCACGGAGCTGAATACTCCTCCCCACACAACTCCACCGGCGGGAAGTTCAAGAAGAACCACAGTAGCAGCCAATCCAGTTTTAATTCGAGGGTATCTCCGAAAAAGTACGGAGCAAATGCTCATCAGAAGTCACCCAAACATTATTTAGCAGCTGTGGGGGACAACTCGTTGGACAGCAGTGGGAGTGTTAGTAGTAGGTACTCGCCGTCCGTAATTTTTCAAATGGGAGATTCAGGTGGGGATTTATTAACGGGCACTGACGGGGCTGGTAATAGTTTAGAGTCATCTCCCGCCAGAAACCGGTCTCAGCATTTTGATGATAGAGTTTCAGACCTGGAGTTAAACGGAGAGTCGAAAGTCAAGCAATTATGTACTAGTTTCAAATTCAGCGTCGATGCATATGACGCAGATGAAACACTCAAAGAAGTGTCTGCGAATTCTTATGGGCGTATTGGTGCTGGTAAAAAAGAAGCGGAATTGTACGTAGATGATGAGAATGACTATGCAATAGAAGGAGATCCTGAATCAAAGTCGACCAAAAGAGTTTCGGTGCCTCTAGCTGTAGTTTCGGAGCTATGAGAAGGAACATCACTTTGAAAAGTTGCCTGAAACTCGTAAACTTCAAAACGGTTCCATAATATCCCCCAAAAATGTTGCTGGTGTTGATATTTTTGTTGCATTTGTCGTTTTTCTGTCCACTATAATATCGGTTACGGTGCAATTTTTTTTGCAATATGCAAGATTGGGAACCAAAAAATTAAACCCCCAAAAACGCGTTTACAATTTCAATTTTTGTTCGTTTTGTCCGGATAATTCAAATCAGCACTGTATTATCGGTTATTACATTGCATATAAATTTCCAAAAAAAGGAAACTTCATTGGGTGAAGACGGAAACTAACAGTTCAACAGCATTTTTAAGAGAATATTTTATAAAATTTGTATTGCTAATTTACATCTAGTCGAAGATTATCTAGTTCTATTCTTTGGCTTGGAGGCAAAGGGGATAAACGTATGGAATCGCTATGCGTTAATGGTATGTTGTTAGTTTTAATTCAAAATGCAATGATTTTCAGTATTTTATCTGAAACGGAATGTGTTCCTCATAAATCAGGTGTATTTGCGATCTAATGTATTTGTTTGTTGTAGAGATTTACTTAGAGATTTGATTGTTTTGTTGGCTGTAACATTCCGCAATTAAACAACTGTATAATTTTTGAATTCAAAGTTATTGTATAAAATTTATTTTGAAAAATATCAATTTCTTAATCTTTTTTGAATTTTCTATGCGAGTGAATTGTAGAACTTCGAAATAGCACGCGTGGCATTTTGTAGGCAGTGAGATTATTTTAAGGCGTCACCTTGATTGAATAATAACTAAAATTTTGAGTTGAACAAGACCAATGATTACACTGGGGAAACTTCTCCTCTACCTTATGCTAGATTATCCTTCGCACTTTCACTACCTTCCCAGATTCCCCAGATTTTTTTATCATTGTGTCAATGCACGAAGTGAAGGTACTAAATAAGGTCGTGATAAGTTAATTTTATTTTTTCTAGGAATCGATGAACGTAGTTCAGGCTCTTATGTAGGTCGTGGCAGTGGCGTGCGCAGATAATATTCTAGGGGAGGGCGGTTTTTCGAAAAAAAAACTGAAAATATTGTCGAATTCCTTTAGGTGACCAACTTGATCTTTCGAACTCTCCGAAGATACTAGAAGAACCCCGTTTTGTCAAAAATTGTAGGCCCCGCAAATTGACGATTGAGCACTTGACGATTGAGCAGAAAAATTGATCAAAAATTGCATTATTTCGGCGCGTGCTCCCCCTTCAAGTTTAGTTACCTTGGCGCCCAAGGCGCCCCTAGAAAGTTTTAATGGTGGGCAGGCAAAATGGATCTCGTAAAATTTGGCAGCCAGATTTGAGGAGAGATGCTACTGGGTCGTGGTGATTTTTTTTCCGGAAAAGTTAGTTTAATCAGGTTCACGTGGACTTTTTCGCGGTGCATTTCTTTTGTTGAAATGAAGACAAATTCCACTATCAATCTACAAAAGTGAAAAGGTCAAGAAAAAAGTGATCGACTTCTAGTTTCGAAAGTGGAATTTAATTTTCAGATTTCCCAGCGGAATAAAAATTACACTTTGATCCAGTTTCCTCAAATTGGCTTTATTTTATGAAAAAAGCCAATCAGAAATTTTTTTAAAATGTGAAGCTTTTGAAACAATTATCGCTGATTGGGCTAGGTTGTTGAAAAAAGTGCTTTCAATTTTTTGAAATTTGGAGAGCTTATAGGGCATAATTTGCTTTAAAATTTTTCCAAATTTTAAGGTAGTTTTTCGGTTTTCTTATAATCATTGTTACTATTCCAACTTGGGAGCTGTAAGTACAGCATTTTACAGATATTCCGCTCCTTTGAGGTCGTTTTAACTCACCATCACCATTCCCGTCATCATCATTGGTTTGTTTTGACACGGCTTTCTCAACTGAAGGATAATTTTTTCCTAAAATTGAGTCTGAGTTGTCCATGTACTGAATTTTTGGCCGCAATTTAACACTGAAATTTGTATGAATGGCTCAGTTAAGACAAGAGTTCAGCTACTTTTTTCTCGAAGGTTACTAATAACTAAAGAAACGTCAATCACTACGTGATTGACACTTCTTTAATTAAGGTTTGATTTTTGCAGTTTTTTTCTGTTCTTCGAATTTATACTTCTGTCGTCTAACGCACCGAACGGGTGAAATGCTGTTCGTCACAAATTATCATGCAAAAATATTTCTTTCAAACCTAGCGACTCAAACTATTGTAATATTATCGAAAAAGTTGAGGAGTCATGTATCGCTGCCAAGTAATTTATCCGTGGAGGTTGCTGTTTTGAAGTTTTTCTCATGCGTAGTATAAACCCATAACAAAAACAGAGCGGAAGTCACCGTTAAAGTTTCACTGATTCTGTATGAAACAAATAACTTGCTGGTAGAGTATGTAGTAGATAAACAACAGCTAAATATTGGATCGAGAAATTTGGTGACTCAAATTGAGACATGAAGTGTCGAGATCTCAAAAAGTTCTGAGATGCAAAATACGCTGTTGCTTATCTGAGATACGCTGTTGCTTATCTGAGATACGCTGTTGCTTATCCGGTACAAAACAAGCGAAAAACACAAACAAACAAAACATCTTTCATAATAAAGGTCACGCCAACACAATTTTCACTTGCTATTGAGTTTGCTGATTGATCAACTAAAGCAGGGAAACATGTTTACTAGAATCGTGTACTAGATTTTCTTTCCCGTGAATAACTTTGTTCACGTGGCCTTTTTCGTCTAGACTCATTTCCTGGAAGCCTCTGTTAGCAACAATTTCACCAATATTTAAATATTTCCTGCAAGTTAGCATTTTGAATATCTGTCCCAATTACACAAGCAATAATTATGTTTTAAATATTAAACCTCCCTATTTTTCCACTTAGGTTGCAAATATTGTTGTGACAAAACGCGTTCGTTTTGAAAGTGTTCATTTTGATCAACAAAGAGCTATTAAGTACAGCCAATGCTAAGGATATTAACAAAGACTATTATATTACAAATTGCACTTCAGATTCAAGGTATCATGGATCTGTAGCTTAGAGGTACGGAAGGAGACGCTCGACAAAATGAGAGGGTTCGAACCTGGGTAGGGTCGGATGTTTTTGAGGAATTTTTTTTCGTATACTAATTTAATTGCGTTCGCTCGATAAATTGAGGCATTTTAAATGGTTAATGTCTTTTTTTTTCAAACACTGTTACTGCTAATGCGTCATAATTGACTTGCGTCACTTAGCAATTATGTAAACTCATAATTGGCGTGCGTCAATTAAAAAGTTTTGTAGACTCAAAGTCTTACTCATTAAGTTTTTCCCTGTAGCGGTATTGGTCATATTTTTGCTTTCGTATGCGAAGTGCAACTTCGCTTCTGTGTCGAAATTTTCTTTTGATATAGGTTATAATTTTACCAAATCGAGTTGTTAAAGTTTCTTTTTTTTATCTGTTTCTGTTCCCTTTTTTCGGATCGATAAATGTTGGTCTGTATTAAATTGCCTTATATTGTTCGACACAAATTAAAATGTTTCTTTTTTGTGTATGTGTGTTTTGAGTTTAAGGGTGAGGGAGTCTTAATAACTTTTTATTAATCATATTTTTTGAATTTTTTATTCGGCTTTTTTAATTTTTTTCGGCTTATTAGGCTTAGGCCTGTCTTATATCGGCTCAGCGGACCGTATTTTCGTCGTTGGACGAACGAAAAAAGGTTTTGTTTGTGTGTGTTGTGAATGTATGTATTTACGTTTGTTATGTATTTTATAAGTCCTAATGAATTTTTTTTTATCGTTTCAAAGGGTTTCTGCTAAGGTACTGTTGGCATAATTACAGCTTGATTTTTTTTATTTCGATGCTAATTTTCTTATTCTATTTTCATGACGCGTTTTTGTTTCAAACTAGCCTTATTCATTTGATAGATCTAGTTTTTGGACAATTTCGAGTATTTTTCCTTTTTTTAGCGGCTTGTTATAAATCGCAAGTGGTGCAAAGAGCTCCTTCGCCTTTGCGTACATACTAGCCCTATGTTTTTTGAATACAGCGGGGAAAGATTTTTAATTCTTGTGTTTTTCGAAGTTTATAGTTAACTAAATTGCACTTGCGATTAGCAAGTGTTATAAAATCGGAATATAGATTTTTTTTCGGGTCAACAACTAGTTCAACGAATCAGTCCTTTCTGATGGATTGCCCGAAAGTAGATTTTTCGAGCGTGTATGCTTTTTAAATTGCAGTTAATTTCGAATTGTTGTTGTAGCTTTCAGTTAAACTCTTTTTTTTTTCTTTTTTTAGCCGATTTTAGGCTTAAATGGTTTCGGCTGATAACGTATCTGTTTATTTGCCTCATAGTTATCCATGTCGTATAGCCAAGTGTTATCTGTTCAGTTACCTTTTGATAGATGTTGTTTTTCAATATTTTTTCGGCATTACTAATTGGGTTTTTCAGTATACTTCTTCAAAATCAACCACCTTCGAGACAAATAAAAAAAATGATTTTTTTTTCATCTTTTTTTTTCGATTCAGTGGCTTTCGTCCTATTTTTATTCGGCTGACTGTCGTTCGATTTTTTTTAGCTTAATGCAAAAAATGGGAAGCTCAGCCTCGCCTTTGTGTTTAACTTCTCGGAAAAAATTGAGTTACCGTTGGAGAAAAATTGTTTTTCAAAGAGCCTTTATTATTGTTCCGACCATTGTTTTTTTTTGTTCAAAGACGCGAAAATTTTTGAGAATTTCTCGCTTACATATTGGTAAATTGTGTTATTTTTCATATCATCTGGAAAAAAATTATTCGTACGCGAACAAACTTCAACAGCTGAAAATCATTTAAAAAAATCTTAGCAAATTAACTGATGTTCATTGAGCGCGCGTCAAGACTTCTTTTCTCAACATAATCATGGGTCGGTCTTCAAAATGATGAACGGGATCCACGAATTTACATGATCGAAGATCTCAGAAGCGCAAACTCAAGACGACATCGAAACCACCAAAGCAGTTGACTATATGAAGTTATTTCTTTCTTCTCACTGATCATCGAAGCAAATCTTTTGTAAAACGTGGTTGCAAGTTTGCCCATGCCACCCGAGCAAGAAAAAGCAAGAGGTGTGAAGGATCCATGTTCAACTTCTCTGATAAGTTGCTCGTAGCATCTGTTTTTTTTTTCAATCCGGCTTCCTGTACCCAATTGGCAGAATAACAGAATTTGAT